TTCCAAAGAAATCTAATTATAACTGTAGCAAATGTTATGGTAGTTTTGTAGCACTTTGCACAGTAAACGGTCAGAGGAAACACACCCGTTTGAGAAGTCGTGGAGCATCAATGTCGATCGTGCAGCGCCTCTCAGTTACCAGCACGGATCCACCCTCACTTTGGTTCTCATAGATCATCTCACTGTCCGCAAAAACTGGGATCAAGGGGCATTTTGGGAACCTCCTCACATAAGCCTGGCAGGAAGAAAAACACATATGTATGAAAACAATCCTGTATTGTACTTGTATTGTATTTCCCTCTGTGAAGCAGCTCTGTGATTGGACACAAAAGCCGTTTTGAATTTTTGAATGAATGCACCAATTACAACAAGGTCACTTGTATTTGCCATAAGAGTAAACTGCAACAAAAGCGTAATGAACACCATGTGATTTATGGCACATTTCTGTATCGGGTTTGGATGCATTTAATAGCCAGTAGCTTTGACACTTTGTATAAATAATAAAATTTGATGTTTTGTGCAACGTCTTGCAGCTGAGGTACCTTTTATATGCAGTGATTACTTTGTTTTACTACCCGCAACATACTTCATCTGTCCAAACTACTTTCACCTTTCAACTTTGAGTCAGTGAACAGGCATTTCAGGATATGGAAAAATTATTCTCAGTCTGTGTAACTAGTATTAATGCATCGTTTGCTGATAAAACTATTGACAAGTGTCCAAAAGCAGGAAAGGAACAAGACTGTCCTGTACACACGGCTGCCTCTTTCAAGTTTTACAGAAACAGTGAATTAGTTCACTATAGAGCTGGTTGTTCAGCAACACACACACACACACACACAACCTCCTTATATTGACACAGTACAGCCCATGAGCAATGCAATCAATAAGATGACATTATCCACTAAGCAAATTAATGAGAAAGATTTCCTTGGCGAAGCAGCAGCATTGACTGGTGTTGTGTAACAGACACACTGTGCAAAAGCAGCATGTTTCACTGGCTGCAGACAAACTGAAATCTCTGTCCTACCCATTTGCTTTAGAGCTATAAGCATAAACACATAATGGGATCACAAACTATAACAAACGAGCAGGAGTAGAGCTGTCAGTGGCCCCAGAAGACTTTGTGTACAAGTCAGAAAACACCCATTTCCTATATTTTACAACATTGTATTTCACATTAGCGAGCCAATAAAAGTCTAATGACTGTGGCCATGGAGCATAAACAATGTTTTATTTCCACAGGCGATATTGATTAAACACAATTCTACGAGTGTCAGGCATCCACAAGTAGGTTAGTGTATCTGCATCTAAAATGCTGTGTATTTCTATTACATTACACGTCATAAAAAAGGACAACAATGACGTTGCTGGCCAAACATCCAGGATGCTGATTAGGACTGTTAGCCAGAGTAATAGGCGATGTCAGTGGCAGGGGACTAATGCACAAAACTCAGAGATAAATGGGAGTGCAGGATGTGGGAGACTATTCACTGGATTCTCACCTTTTATGCTGATGAGGCCTGAATCTTGTCACAGTAGCTGTTATTTACTTTTGACAAAAGGATTATTTTGAGATCCTTTTCAATAAACTGCAGTGACGCACTTTGATTTTTACACACGAGATGTCTCAGGGGAAGTGAAGCTTGAGTAGCTGTTAGCATGGACTGGTGAAGGAGTTATAGCCTGCAGAGCAAAGTGTCACTGCAGCATCACGGCCTCTTTACCATGCTCTGAGGACATCACATGAAGCCTTAAGCTTAATATATAACAGCAGAGAATAAGAAACACTAAGGAGAGCCGAGTGCAAAAGTAAGTGAAAACAGACTCTTGCCCTCTCAGGGAAATCCACTTCCATTCTACTTTTGTCCTACTTTTGCAGAATTGCTGTTCTCACCTGAATTCTAAGCACCGAGTTGTAGGTGAAGTGAGCAGTCTTACTATCGTTATAAGAAACTTTCTACAGAAGGAAAGCAAGTTTATTATATGGTGAATAAATGTGCAGAAACTGGGCTCTCTGTTGCTATTTCAGTGGGTTTCCCCTTGTGACGGTTGAATAGTGCTGCACTGCAGCAACAGTTAATACAGCTGGAAACATTTGTGCTGACAAACTCTGTTGTGGACACTTCTTATCTCGCCGTTACGTCGTCTAAAGTACATATTGCCATCTGTCCACAGGAACAAGAAAGCCAGTCAATAAAGAAATTCAAATGGTAACAATAATAACTCAAGGACTCCTAACCATCTGACCTCTTATGGAGCATCATATGACAACAAGGAAGCAACTCAAAAATCGAAGTTTAATGAGTTACAGGTGGTTCTGACATCCAAGAGGGATATAAAATGGTTAGTCTGGCATAGAATTACATGAAAAAGAACTTCCCTACAAGATGTATAAAGAGATGGAAGGTTTAATAAGCAGCTTTCTCACAGTATGTGCCCTGTAGATTACTGTATTTACCACAGCACCAGCATAGAAGAGGAGAGGGGATAATGAATAACCTGTCCAAACACTCATTGCACAGCATTTATCACAGTTAAGTCTATGTCCTGGATGAGACAGATGGCCCTGGGAGGCAGACAAGGATAGACCCATTTTGTTGGTTTCTGAAAGTGTCTAGTCTCTTTATAATGGCGCAGTCCAGCCCTGGAATCCAGTAAAAGCTGCAATGATTGATTAATTGATTGTGTAAAGGTGAGATGTGTTGTGCAAGGGTACGATCTTGCAAAGTAATACCACTGACACACATAACGTATCTGATATGACCACACTGCTCTACTCACCGCCATTATTAGCTCAAATGGGTGCTTGTAGACCCGAACAGGGGACTGGTATTTCTGCACCATGGTTGAAGTTCATCCACAAGCAACCTCGGTTAGATAACTACAGAAGCAAAAACATGACACAGCTGAATCAAAATGACAGACGTTTTATGGGGTTTTGTGTTGTGTGTCTGCAGTAAAAAGTTCGCATGGTATCAGCTGAGGGACTAAAACACCCACGATTCAACTTTAATTTCGGTCGAATCGAAGTCTCTACAGTAAAGAAGAACTGGAGAGAAGTTTTTGGAGCCACCAGATGGCATCTTTAAATACAGTAATCCGCTGACGGGGATAAACCAGGAGCGAAGTTTGTTCCAATTAAGAAACAAACACGCACACAGAAATGACAAACAGTGGACTTACTGTATATCCCAGCCGGTGTCTCGTCACTGTGGCTGTCCTGGTCCCCGTGTCTCACACATGCTGCCAGCTGACGGGGCCACACGGAGACTCCTGCTTTGCAAACAGCAAAATGAAAAGCAGCTGCAGCTTTTCCGTCTGTGACACGGTAAACTCCGCCTCTGTCGTTCACACAGGAAGGCACACCCGATCTCAGGTTGGGAAGTTCAGACGTTTCATTGTTAACGATCCAAATACTAGTCAGTGAAATGTCTGCGTATCAACCACCGAAGTCTCATTTATGATATCATATGTCATATTGGTGGCTGGCGATGGCCTTGCAGGATTGATGTTTGACTTATTAAAACACACATTTTACTTTAACTTACCTGACTATATTCCCACAAGGCACTGCAGAGGACCTCCACTCTTCTCCTTTTAGGTTGTAGGTCTGTAACATAAGGTTTCTCTTTGCTGTTTCACCAAATACATATCTATTTTTCATTTTCATGCAGTTCTCAACTTCCTGAGTTACTTTGAAGAAATGGTGTGTTGTTAGAGAGTGGTTATAAGCCAGTCCCAGATTACTCTTCCGTTCTGCCCTTTACACACACGGACCCCCTGCAGTGAATACTGACTGGCATGGTGTAATAATGGCTTTAACAGCATTATTTTGTAGAGCTGTTCACGCTTTCCTGCCTCACATTAGCTTGTTCCAAGGAGATGCAGCTGGTCCCACATTGAGACTCCTCCAGCAGCATCTGGGGGGACATTCAAAGCTTCTGGATCAGGCAGCCTGCACCAGGTCCAGCAGGGGACATCCGGAGAAGGGGAAGTGGAGTTCAGATAAGCTCTTTTTTTTCTAATCAACCTCGGGCACAAAGAATAATGTTCCCATCCAGCAGTTCCCTGCTCTAAACAACTACTGCCGCACAATTTGGGATAAAATTGTGCCATTCCAGTCTTTCTTAGAAAATACTACTAAAGATGGAAGATTTGACTTCTTTTTTCAGTCTGGCTTTGGCTCTGTGATTTGTGGCATCAAACTATATTTCCTTTGGGTGTTCTGGCTATTAGACCTTTTAACAGTTTGGGCTTTATTAACAGAGCTGTGATTCTAACGGTGGCGGTCAAACAATCAAATCAAATAGCTTCAAATACTGTAATAAAAAGGACAAATATGTACAGAAAAATGACTATACTGTATATAAAACGAACCCGTAGATCCTCCTCTGCAGGCCAATTTTTCCTTTTTTAAGGACAAAAATGATAAAAGTTGTAGTATCATTTCAAAGTGGTCGTCTAACTGGGATCAAGAGCCATAAAAAACACCCTTGACTCTATTATGACGAGAGTGATTACACTGAAATTCATATCCTGCTTTATCCTCCTGTCTAATCTGAGGATATTACAGACACTGTGACTCATCTAGTCCTTCTGATTAAAATAGTCATCTGCATTCTCAGTTGTTTGTGCTAATGCGAAGTTTACTGGTTGTTCAGTTTCAGCTCGGCTCATCACCTCCCCAAGCTCATCATCCATTTTATAATCCTCGTAGCTCTCTTGCCTTAACTCTAACTGCGAATATAGCGTATTAGATGTATTTCTCTCCTGAATGCTGCAGACTTCCCATGACTCCACACACCTCAGAAATTGATGTTCAGAGCAGAAACCTCCGGCAATAAATCTCAAAGAGATATGCGGCCATATAGATTCTTATTCATGCAGTGGTGATCCAGAGCATTAATAAACCTCTATTCATCAGCTGTTCAGCTACAGTAATAACTGAAAAATGAGCAGAGAGCTGTTAAAAAGCACTGTATCTTACCAACACTACGAGTAATGACTCATTAATAAAAATAATACAGGCCACAGTAAATGATAATTATTACAAAGCAATTACACACAAACAATAACCAAAATCAAGCAATGTGCTTTGTTTCCTTTTCAGATCTGTTCTGCAAAATAAAAGAAAGAGTCAAATGTGAGCGTAGCAATGCAGATGAGGTTGCTTGTGGTTATTCAGCACCAGTGGTTACATTTTAATTTTGTTGAAGAAACTTTACTGTTTCCTCCTCTTGTCTCTGGGGAGGGCACTCTAGGAAGAAATCAGTTTGAATTCAAATGGAGTCCACCGCAGAAGAAAAATTAGAGACCAAGCTTGAAGGAATTTGAAATGATTTTCAGACGCAGAATCTATCCAGATGCCTCAGAGTTTAGCACTGTGAATTAAACGATTTAAAATTCTGGTGAAATATCCCCTCAACCACTCATACCAGTTTTCAGCACCCTAAAAAAAACATCAATAAAATGTGTGTGTGTGTGTGTGGGTCCATTTAATTTGAGAAGAATATTGAGAACTCAGTGAATTCCAACCACATGTGTGTGTGTGTGTGTGTGCAGTTGTCAGCAATTAATTCATTCTTAAATTTACAACCTGAGTCAGTGAAGACATATTGAGCTCATCTGACAGCAGACAAACACGTTTAGGAGCCACTGTTCGCAGAGACAGTATATCTAAGGCTGATGAAAGAGAGAGATCTTTGTAAAAATCCAATTTAACAGCATCACTATGCTACATGTTCCCCAATTTCTCAGAGATTAGCAGTATTTGAAAGATCTATTAAATTTTAATTATGTTGGCATGGAGGTGTTCAACAAGAAATGCATTTCTTAGGGACATAGCAATTTACTCAAATTCTATTTGGAATGAATCAGCAGCTAATTTGTTAAAAAGTTTGCAGATCCTGCAGTTAAATGCATTAAATAACAAATATAAGCTGCAGGCAGGTTTTAACTCAGTCTCACTGTGGTGACAGACTTCAGCCCTAACTGCTTTCAATGAGGTTTAATGGGTGCAACACATCTGGGTATGTTTTCACACTGTTGTTTTTTTAAATTTACATTAGATAGTGTGCCATCATTAGACAGGATTTGCTCACATAAAAGGATTAATAGTATCTACAGTGAGAGAAACATTACAGCCCCCAGTTCAATTATTTTATCAGTGGAGGACACCACACACTTAGTGCAACGATATAAAAGTCCAACTACAAGGAGCAAGTGTGGGCAGTTTATTAATGATTCAACCCTGCATGTGCCTGAGAGCTTTGTCTTTTGATTGGGGAAGCTGCAGGTTAGAGAGGATGGCAGTGGCAGTAATGTCACCATTATCAGATACATACTGTTATGACTGATCTGTCAGATTCATGTATTCCACTTCTTTCACACCTTCCACAGGAGGGTGGGGGTGTTGTTCATTAACTGTCCACGTGAGGTCCTCAGTTTGTTACCAATAATTGGACATACTAATAATGCAGTGTTAAAACAAGTTCACATTTCCAAAACGACAGGGTTGGAGCAGATATAGTAGATGGTGATTTCACAGAGTAAAATGATATAATGCATACTGGTAGAACAGGAGATCAGCAGCCCAGGACACTCTTTAAACTTCAGGTCTTTCTGCAGCAGAGGACAACTCACTCCCTGCAGGCGGGAGTCAGTACAATGCAGCTCGGATCAAGCCGGCACACTTGGGCTTCATTCGTAATATCAGCCAGCAGCTCCACCAGACTGTCCAATGCCAGATCCATATTAAAATTCAGAGGACCTTCAGAATGTCTCTGAAGTGTGTATACCATGAATAGTGACCTTATGTTGGGTCGCAAAAGAGGTAGAGCAAAGCCTGTCAATATAATAAAACAAGTAAAAATGATATCTTCTCTATCTATTTGTCCAACAGACTTGTAATTGTAGAGGTGAGCTCAAGAACACCTGGCTGGTGTATTTACATTATTACCATATTTTTCTCTGACTGTTCAGAAAAACCTCAGTATCACCAGCTTTATCAGCGATTTCATCAATATAGCAATAAAGACTGTCAGTGTGTATTGTACATAATCTGTGTTTTCATTTAATCAGAAGAACCACCTTTTCTGTATGCACCTAAAAAAACCCTGAACCTTCAGGAGTTCTTATGTGACTAGGTATTTTGTAGGAGTGGGAAGAAACCGGTGCAATATACTGTACATGCAGGGTCTTTGTGTTTTTAACAGTAAAATGATTTCCTCCCCTGGACTCCTCCACCCACACATGCTAACCCTGTGTGTTAGCACCACTCTTTTTGCTCAGTACACTCATAAATCTGACCTTAAAACATGCTGGTGAGGAAAAGAGAGCAAGCAAAGATAAACAAATCAACATGAGATGCGTTTTGGGGCTTGGCTGATGAAAATAGATACAGCAGCTTTGTCCTAATTAAGACTAGACTTTCTGTAGATTCATGTCAGCCTATAAATAAACCTACTCATATTTTACACATGAAGACAATCTTCACACAGATACACAGCAGAAAGAATATCTAGTTTTAATTAAGATCACAGAGGGGTTATTTTTAATCTTGGCATTCTTCAGAAATCAAAGGTATCTTGCCGGGGCTTGTAGCCGACTTGTCATGTAGAAAGTGACATGACTGCCACCGCTTGTCACCCTGAGCTTTATTCCAGCACCATGTCAGACATCCTGCTCTCCCGACATCAGCGTGGTCACACTTTCCAATAACTGTGACACTACACTGCACATGTAAAGGCTAGTATAGTGCATCCCAGAAAGTGTGCCTGCTTCTGGTACATGCCTAAGGATAACATTTGAAACAGGGAAGAAGAAGTGTGATTTATGAAACCCTCCCATGCTAAGGCAAGATTTGCGAAGAGCAAACCTGTGCAAAGAAACAAGAAAACATAATATTAACAATGTAAAATCACTATAAGACAGCAAATCATGTTATGAATGGGAATAAAATAATTGCATCTGAGAGAAATAATAATAAAAATAATACCAACAAACAGGAAACAGAGACGGCTGAAGCAAGGTTGAGCGTGTCGACTGCCTATTCCACACATAAAACACTATCCTGAAAACAGATGCTACATTCATGCTTAACAGGTGTATTAACCCTGAAAGCATACAGCCCTACAACACCTGTGACTACAGAGCATGCCAAAACTATCACAGTTAGAAACTACTCAGTTCGTCCACATAACGGTATGCTACAGTAGGCACATGGCTAGTAGAGCAATGCTAATAGGTGGGGTGCAGGTGATGATTTCAGTCACAGATGTGTGCAGACAACTATGGCTGTGGAAATGATTGTGGATCTATAAAGTTGGCAGCTGCAGTCAGTTCCGATTCAGGTCTAATGATGATCTCAGAATTGTTAATTAGTAAATC